TTCCTTAATTGTTTAAAGTTTTAACCAACCGAAATGTGATTTTTTGTGGTAGTTTATTAATCTTTGGTACCACATCCGTGTTGGATAAGTTACCACCCATAGCAGTTCTAGTTACCCTCCTTCTTGCTATCCTCTCCTCCCTTCTAAGGATGGAAGCAATCACACAAAGAGTGAGTGATAAATTAGACAATTATACAAAGGAAAGGTAAGCATAACGAATATATATATATATATATATGCCAACTTATAGACATGAATGCAACAAATAAGATAATCAAATACATCAATCGCATATATACTAGTCTCAGAATGCTTGAAACTAATACCAAATTGTAATGTTCACCTTGACATTATCAAAACAATACTCTAATATGCCATTGTGATAACCCGAATTTATTAAAATCTTAAGAAAAAGTTATCACAATCTAAGAATTTTAAAGTAATTAATTTAAAATATTGGGATCCTAAGAAAATCCCTTTTTAAAGTTATTTAAGCTTAAACTATAGTTTAAAGTAAATTGAATGTAATAACAAAAGCATTAAAACATGAATCAGTACTTAAAAACACAAAAGGTTGAAAAAATTCCAAAATTTGCACTATTTGCCATGACACAGGCTACACACATCATGGCAAATGGCACAGAGGGACGAGTCCCTCAACATGAGTTTTGCCGTAGTGTGATAACATGTGCCACGCTGTGTGCCTACTATCATGACAGCAAATTACTATCATAACAACACTCTTAACTTTCAGAGTGCGCTGTTTCACCATTCGACGTCATATTTGAGCGGTTTCAGTGTCCATACGATACTCTTTGAGCCCTTTAACTAATGCCACCGATCTCACATCAAAACAATTATCTATTACAAAGATAGACACCTGAATCTAAAATTGTCCATTTTTACCTTAAAACACAATTAAGAGTGTCCAATTCACACCACCTAGTGCCACTACACTTTGACTACTTTAAATGGATCACAAATAACACAAGAGGCCAATTAGATCGCATAAATAATCTTTTATACATAAAATGACTACAAAAACCCTAATTCTCAATAATGTAAAGGGGGTGGATCAAATTTAACATAATAATCATTTAAACCTTTCTAACACATAAACATCTCAATTCTATCACTTGTATTAATATCTTGGCCTTTCACACACATTTAATCATCATCACAATAGTCTTAGGCTGAGATACGCATACATTTCGCAAATCCTCATACAAGTGATAACAAAATAATATAATAATCCTCAGTTGGCATAATAGCATGACATATTCATTATAAAACCCAAAATAATAGAGAAGAGAGCTATAAAAGCGTAGTTCTCAATCCTTGATAGTGCCTTCCTTCCCTTTGCTCCTACTAAAGCCCTCACTTATAAAATATAACCACGATGTGAAATAAATATCTTAGTAACAAAATAATTCACTATTATTAATTAACATGCACAATCATATAGGAGTAAAGCTAATATACACTAAAACATACGTTTAGCATAGTTCAACGTACTCTTTTTTATAATCAATATTCATTTCCATTCTAATATGATCATTCTACCATTTGAGTCTCCATATTACCTCGACTGAAACTATAGGCTCATAGACCATGTGCACATTCACAAGGGCCCGAGCTCACCCTCAGTGGTAGGATCACTCGGCTAAAGGTGTATTATCCCTACTTTAGACTATGGTCTCTTCCTAACACACGAATCGGGGTGTCATTACCCTAACACTGCATCATTGATGCTGAGGAGCGATAATCTTTAATGTTGTATCTCACTTGGATACTAAGGAGATAATCTCCAACATTGTGCCTTATTAAGCATTAAGGAGATGCATGCCATATAGACTTCCATTACTCCTTCCTACGGCTGAACTCCCACCCCTATCATGATCATGCTTACACAACTCATATAACAAATATTCTTTTCCAATTCTCATTAATTTCATATAAGACTTTCACAAATGTCATAGTTTGAAAATCATTTCACATGCATAAAATCATAATTTGCAATATGCAATGCTTTCAAATCAGAAGTAGAAAATTTACATATCTACTCACTGATAGTTAAGCAATATAATCAAATAGTGTAAATTATTCTATTACTTCAACCCTTTGTCATAAAAGGGTTATTGTGGTTCAACACTAGTTCCACACGTTCTCTACGCAAGATAAGGCTTGAGCACACTCAATCTACACAATTAAGCAATAATTATCAATTATCACTGTAAATCAACCCCAAATTTACTAGGTTTTAGGTACCTATAACTCTCAAATTCTTTATTTAATGACACCTACCTTTCCAAAACGCTCCAAAACTCCTATTCAACATCCAAACATACCAAAATCATCAATTAACTATCTATATTGTCCCAAAACCTCAATTTCTCACATAGGGTTTGTTTAAGCCTTAGTCAAAAATTTTAAATCAGCATAAAACTCATAAACCTAGGGTTAGAGGCTTGATTTAACTTCTTAATACCTTATCTAAGTTAATGGGTTCATCCATTACCTAAAAACAACCAAATCAAAGCCTCAACCAAAGCTAAAAGTATAAAAAATTCATATTGAGGGAGAGGGAGAGGTGTAGGGAGCTTACCTAAGGACAAATCTTTCCCTAAATGCATTTAGAATGATCTAGAGATTGTGCCCTAATAGTTATCGATCATCTCTTGTGGCCTCCTCACTATTTCACTTATCCCACTATTGATTTCAGGTTTGTTTTATGACTAATAAAATTCAAAATTGTGTAGGTGCGCTGCGGCGCACTGACGTGTCCGCCATAACGTATGGCACAAAGAGCCCCTTTCATAATTTAAACCCCCCTCTATGCCACGGCCTATTCGAAACTTTGACTTAGCCCTCTTTTAAGGCTGTTCAAGGATCAAAAAACTATATTAGTTTTCTAAAAATGTTAATTAAAAAATTAACTTGAAATTACCATTCTACCCTTAAAAAATTAAAATTTCTAAATTGAATACTTGGGATGTTACAACAATCACAAACTCTTAGACCATAATAATGGCTAAACTACCTCCCAAAATTCCACACAAGTAACACCACTTATTAAAATATTCCAATTTAGGTCAAATTGAGCTTACAGCTCTAAAGCTCAACTGTTAAACCCTAAACTAGTCATAAAATTTTAGTTTCACACCCAATATATTTTTCGTAACTATTCAATTAGAAAGTAGATTCCTAAACTCTACAATTCAAATTCTCTACATCCCAAGCCTAGAGAAATTAGAGTAGGATGGGAACATAGGGCGATATAAGACTTATCTAGTAAGTGATAGGTCGAAAATATCCCCTAGCACTTTGAGACAGCAATCCTTAGTAGAGAATAGCCCTTTCTCCTCTCCTTTGTCGTGCTTTTCCCTCATTTCCTCTCCCTTTCGCACCTAGTTCATGCACATAATTATCCAAATTCTGTGTCATGTGCCATAGCCCATCATGTTTATGCCATGGCACGTAGTACAGTGAAGAAAATCACTCAACTACTCATACAATTTGCTTCAGACTATTGTTCTTTCACTCGATCCTATTCATTCAATCAATCATCAACAAAAACATCATTCCATCATCCAAAATTACAATTATCCAATTAATTCACCAATCTACAATCAAAAGTTTAGGATGTTACAGCAAGCTGTTAGTGATAAGAGGAGGAAGGCAATAATGGAAAGCTTAACAAGAATAGGAAGGACGAATGCACTCTCACTCTCTCTATTGTTGTAGTTAAATGGTAGGGAGAAGGAGAAAAAATCTCAACATTCAAAAATTAGGAAAGTCACAAGAAGGGTCACAACATTTTTCTCTTATGACATAAAAGACAAGAGTACTTTGGTAATTTTTTCATAATTTAAAACAAAATAAAACTAACCTATTGCTTAGAAGAATTCAAACTCTAAATCTTCAGGTAAGCTATTAGCATAAGTTTCACTAAGTCATCACACTCCATTTGCTATAAAAACAAATTTAAATAAAATATCAATTAGGAAATTTTTTTATTTAATTTAAAATTTATGTTATTAGATTTAATTAACTATTAGACTCATCTTCATTTTCTTCGTGAGCTTCTTCACAAATAAGGTGAGGGCACAGTGCTTTTCAACGGAGTTGAGTGCTCACGAAAAGTAAGAAAAGTAATAGTTACATGCATTTAATGCTTTGACAAAAGGTAAGTAGGTTAATAATAGTAAACCCAAATATAATACAGGTATATAAGAAAAATGCAAGGATTGATAAGTGTTTAATTGTACTCAAGGTTGTGTATAGATAGTTTCTAGAAAGGTAAAGAGGCTAGAACAACATTTAAAAAATAAAAAAATAAAAAAAAAACAAGTGAGACTCGAAGCTCACAAGTTTTGAAACATAAAACAGAGCACTAATATTCATATTAGTATTAGTGTAGGTAACTACTATATCGATATAGACAATGAATATGTTGTGGATAAGTGCAAAGTTTAATATGAGTATAGATGAATAGCATTGGAATAAGAATAGAGTAAAATAAGAAATAGTATTGACGTGGATAAGTTTGTACCCATATAAAAAGCAACATGAGACAAGGAATGATGTTGGTATAAAAGGATAACTAAGGTTATCAAATTTAACTACTGTTCTTAACTAGTTATCAGAATGGGTTATTAACTAGTTATCGGAATGGGTTATTAACTGCTGTTCTTTCCTGATTTTATATGTATATAGATTCATGCTAACTTTTCTTAAATTCATTTTATTATTTTTTTATCACTAATCAATCATTCATGTTAATATTAATTAATACCTCATTCAGTAGTTTATTCTGCGGCTAATTGGCTCAGTGCAAGTTTTACGACATAAAAGTTTTTTTCTTGTTATTAATTAATACCTCCTTCAGATTTACATTGTTCATTAGTAAATTAATAGTAACAATAATTCTTACAAGAATTTACTCGTTCTTCAAATTGACACCGTACATGCATTGCGCAGACAACATCGCGCTTTTCTGGCGAGAGAGAGAGAGAGAGAGAGAGAGAGAGAGAGAGAGAGAGATAACCGATCTATCAATCTCTCCTTTCCTTTTCCTATTTCTGAAGAGTGCATTCTGATTGCTCCGGAAATTCTCAGTAAAATAGCATTATATTGGGTTTCAAATCCTTCTACTGCTGGTATTTGGAGGTAAAGATTTATCTGTCCCATTGATTTGTTTTTAGTCTGTAAATTATTTACTAGCAGTTCGATACCCATTTTCTTTATCACCTTAATTAGTTATTTTAAGCGGAAGAAGATGAGATTGAATCGTTATATATTATGTAAGTCATTTGAACATTCTTTAAAACCAATAATAATTTCGTTTGGTGATCTCAAGATTTCTTTACGATGATCATTGCTGTTTGTTTTGATTTAGATGCTTATGATGTTATTTCGAGGGTTAATAAGATTCCATTACTGGCTTCTTATTGACAGGATGATTATTAAGCTAGACTCACTCCTTGAGTAGTAATATAATAGATAGTGCTCTCGATTAGTCACAGAGCTGTGAATCAAATCTCCTAGAAGCAAAGTTGTTTTCCCAATAGTGGAAGAATGAAATGTCAAATATCGGGCTTTTTAGCTTTTGAAGCCGTGTTTTACATTAACAGGGTACATTATGACACTCTTTTCATAACTAGGCAACTTTTGCTTAATTATATAGATTGTAAGAATTTGATGCCAATTCTCATTATCTATGTTCTTATAGAGGATGCATAGTAAACGTGAAATTTTCCCCAGAAGTGCATGTTTTCCCCCCACATTTTTTATGTCATGTTTAACAATGCACTTTATAATCCATTATAATTTGTGGTCCTTACTCCTTAAACCTGAATCTTCTGTTTATATCATTAATTTGACATGCTTTGGATGTTAAAAGGTGATGTTGTTTCTAGTAGATGTGCCGTTAAAAATTTCAAATCTACAGTGACTGTGGTTAGGGAATAATTTGTTACCTTGTTGATCATTCTTCTTGATACTATATCTTCAGCTGGCCTGATTGGATAGGCTTGATTATAAACAGCAGAAGACTGAGAGTCAAAAATCAGTTTCATGACAACGTGATTGTGCCAAACATTGACTCAGAGACTGATATTTTGGTTATTGATGCCCTTTCCTTAGCAAAATTGCTTGTCCTTTATAATGTGGAGTTTTGCTGCAAATCCATTGGCAAATATTAGAGTGAAAGGAAACTCTCGAGAGACAAGCCAAACTTGTTCAGACTGCTCAGATGATGAGGTTTGTTCTAATGGCTGCAAAGATGAAGGGTTGGATTGCCGCATATGCTGGGAATCTTTCAACATAGTTGAGAATGTGCCATATGTCTTGTGGTGTGGACACACTCTCTGCAAGAATTGCATTCTGGGACTTCAGTGGGCGGTTTTGAAACTTCCTTACCAACAAATCAACATTCCACTTTTCATATCTTGCCCATGGTGCTATCTATTATCATTCCGATTGGTTTATAAAGGAAATTTGAAGTTTCCTCGTAAGAACTTTTTCCTTCTTTGGATGGTTGAAAGCTGGAATGGTGATAGGTATAAGCTTGTTTCCTCCAATGTGGACAATCAATCGATATTCTCTCCCTTGAGCAGCTTAATTCAGGGAAATCAAGCTTCAATTTTTAACCGTAGAAGACGCTCAATAAATCTTGGTTCTGGGCAAAGGGCGTCCAATGGTAATGATGGTGGTAGAGATGGAACTAGACGCCTTTTTCCCCTTTATAAATCTCTGGATTTCTTCATTCATGTTATGTCCAAATTCCCATTAGTCGCCATTTTACTTCTGACAGCCTTCTTTGCAGTTCCAGTTAGTGCTGTTATTTTATCTGTTTACTTGTTAGTCACCATAGTTTTTGCTGTCCCTTCTTTCCTGGTATTGTACTTTGCATACCCTACTCTAGAGAGGTTGGTCAAGGAAATCATTTCTTGAGATATGGCTTGACTTTATTATATTATTATTATTATTATTATTATTTCACTTGAAGGTTTTTGTATTTTTATGTTTTTTTTTTCCTGGTTATGTTCTTCTCAAATCATGATAGAGCACAATGGCGTCTTGCAATCCATGTAGCCGACCCCACCTAGTGGGATAAAGGCTTGTTGTTGTTGTTGTAATGTTCTTCTCAACTCAACTTTGGGTGAATCTTCTGTGAGCAACTCACTACTGTTGAACTGGGAAATTGATTGTGATTCCTTTTACCTGCAGAGGACAATTAGTTAATGCATAAGAGAACAAGTGATTAAAAATTTCATGTGCCAAAAAATTGAGGTTATGTAAGTCCAGGAATTTGTTTCATGTCTTATTCTTAAGTGCATTTTTGAGACTGAGGATCTAAATGTCCTAGTTTCCACTTTCAACCCTCCTGGGGTTCGTTTTTCAATATTTTACAAAAAATTGTAAAATGTTCCTAAGGTTTGGATTTGCATCTTATTGTGGCAGATACCATTTTTAAGAAGTCTTTGGAATACTTTATGAAAAACATATAGGTATCCCAATAAGGGATGTAAGTAGCTAATGAAATGTTGAAGTGGGTATTTTAGGCAGGAAGCTCAGTTAACATTCATTTTTAATTTTTTACGAATTCAAATAAGCTTCTTGCATTGAAGATGACCATGACAAATATATTTGTTATTTCAGTACAAGACACCAATGGCATCATTTTTTGAACATCTTCAGTAGTTTCCCATAGCAACTTCTATCTAAAGAATAATTACAGCTTCTGATAGTTTTCCTTAAATTGTGCAGATTCAATATTGTTTAGTCCCACCCATGATTTTCTCAAAAGTGGGAAAAGCAATAATTATATACAATTTTTGAAAGAACTATCTATTGATTCCACTGATAGCCCCTGGCCATAGGTATTGTATAACTGGTTATCTCAGAAACAGGAACATGGCCCCGGAAGCCTTCCTGTTGTTCTGATTCTATCTGCCTTTTCTTTTGCTTTAAGCTCTTCCTTCCTTCGTTTTGCATCTGCTTGTTGTCTTGCTCCCCTTGCAACCTGATCAATACGGTCCATATCATCTCGAAATTTATCCATGGCTTTCACCCTTCTTTGCTCCAGCTCACTCTGATATTTCAGATAGTTCATAAGCACACACTATGCAGTATCATTGTTAACTATAAAGTTCAGAAGAGTAAAACCTCTTGCGTGTTCAGCTTGCTTTTTGCTTCCTTCCTCTTCTGGTTCTCCCATGAATCTATTGTCTCCTTCAACTTTGCATACCTGACAATTATTTTTATGGGAGTATGAAATATTAATACCCATGCAATGCGAAGAAAATTCCTGAAGCAATTGCAGTGTATATTCAAGGAACTTCAGTATGATACTACTGCCAAGTACCTTTGTTTGATCCTTTCAAGCTCAGCTTTCTCCCAGGCATCTGCTTCTGTTTCCTTGGTGGCCAGTTTTGTTGAAATCAGTGGCCTCAAAGATTCAGATTGAACTGGTGCAGCAACTTCTGGTGCTGCGGTATCAGATTTTGTCTTTAAGAGCTCTCTGAAACTTGAAGTCTTCTTTGATGGCACGCGGGCATTGGCCTTTGCATCTCTAGCAGGTGATGTTGGCTCCGTCTTCCCTTGGCCGTCTGTGAATTTGAATGAATGTGCATTTGATTCAAACTTCTTAATCTAATTTATTTCCCTTCCAAAGATCTGACTTATTTTTATAATGGACAAGAATTTTGTCCAAGAACTGTCTTTAAAGTTAGATAAACAAGGCTGAAGTTGTGTAGTCCTAGTCATTGTTGTATGTTCATGTCTATTACCTGAGAATCTCTTGGATCCACCAGTTTGCGAAATTGGAGCTTTCGAGCCATCCTTTTTGCTTCTGGTCTTTGTTAATGATCTCTCTGTCTTGTTCTGTTGTGGTATGTCTGAGATCTCTTGGTTGCTAGCTGCAAATGCAGCGGCTGCTATCGCAGTGACATGTTCTAAGTCTCCAGATTCATAATCCCTATTCATTTTCTTTATGAACTGTCTCTGAAACCAATTCTTAGACTTCTTCTCTGCGAAAATTCCCAATTAGAATATGTCAACATTAGCCTCACTGTTTTTTTTTAAAAGAAAGACAGAGAGGAGGAATAACCCAAGTATGTTCTCTATTTCTTGAATAAAAATTTTTCTATCTTGGGGGATATCAGGAACCGTTAAGCAGATAAGTTTATAGAATAACAAGGAAGTTTCTTCACCTTCATAAGATTGGGTTTTCTGTATTGATGTTTTCTGATCTCTACTGCCACCTAGATCGCCTTTTTTCTCTGGCTGTGAACCATCAAAACTTGACCTAACCGACATGTACAGGACAAACATTGATAATTATGATTCTCATATCGTCGCTAGTTTCCCACCAAACCTCAATTTTTTTATGATCAGAAATCTGATTGAAAAACTATATTCGGTGACACAGATTATGCAATAATCTTTTTATCACTGAGATTGTGCTGCAAGATCATGAAGACTAGGGTACTTTTGAGAGAAGAAAGCCAGAAATTACTAACCTCGTTAGGTTCATAAATTTCTCCATTATTCTTCACCTGGAAATTGTTCTGAGGTTTCAGACACTTTTTCGTGATCAATGGCTTATGGATTTGTAATAACAAGCTAGGTGGCGTTTATGAGAACAAACCCAGAAGAAAAAGGCGAAACCTTGTTGAGGTATTCTCTTCGGCTGGGATTTCAGAGCACTGCAAGCAAGGTTAGATATATACTTTGCATGTATTGTCTGGTCTTCATACTAAAAAGAAAGTGCCTTTTGGATGAAGATTGGTATTTTTCTTTACTTTCTTCGGAGGCATACGCGTCCAAGGTATTTTTTTTTTTTTTTTTATATGCTCCACCATGTCAATATCAATCTATAATATAAAATTTACTATTTCCTTGTTTAATGTAGCTAACTAGTCAAGTTCTGTACAATGTGCAGGAGGCTCAGATTTTTATGAATGCAAAAAGAACTTTTTGAATTGAGAATAAAATTAGATTCTCTTCGGCTTTAACAATTCAACTGATATAACTGTGTATAGATTCTTTTTTGTTTTTTGTCCCCTGGGGACAAACTGTGTATAGATTCTATTGCATCCTGAACCAAATTTGGAATGGCATAAAATAAAGGCATAAATATTTGTCTTTGAAAAACAAAGGGGGGCGAGGCTGTATGGACGTCTGAGTCCGCATTTCGGTGAGCACCAAGTGCTCATCATTTCTGAGCCAGTCTTGGCCATTCGTTTCATTTTAAAATAATCTTTGCTGTTCATTTAAATTAATTTGTAGGTATTTTTAATATTATATTTATTAATATAAACATTTAAAAGAAAAATCTTACTATTAAATTTGGATTGTCTTCAATCCTCACAGGAGGATGAGCATCATGATATTCATCTCTCTTAAGGAGATCTGGAATGTTTAGATTCAAAATATTTTATTTTTATTTTACATTTATTTAAATAAAAATTTATGAAAAATGTAAAAAAAAATTAATAAATCTATCCATCATTAATCTAGTCAGTACGAATTTAATATGAATAACTTAATTTAATATTTAAATTTTATATTTTTTATAAATTGACTATCTAAATGTATTTTAAATAATTTATATATAATTTAGATGATTTAATTTAATATTAAAATTTTTTATAAGTTTACAAATTAACTATCTAGAGGTATTTTAAATAATTTAAATTTAATATTAGTTTTTATATTAATAAATATAATATTAAAAATATTTAAAAAATTAATTTAGATGAATGGCATAGATAATCTCGGAATGAAATGAAATGAAAGTCGAAGATCGGCCTAGAACCGAATGTGAACTCCTGGAAGTTGAGTATCTAGTCTCGAGTATTTATCCTCAATGGTGACTCTTCCCATAAAAATAAGAGAAAATAATGATAGAGGACTGCTGAAGAAAGTTAACATCTGTCAATGACTAATTACTATTAAAATGTGAATGTAAAAATCCGAATAAATTATTATTAATTTAAAATAAATTATTGTTAAAATTTAAATGAATATTTATTGATAAAAAATTAATCTAAATTAATAAATATTTATTTAAGTTTTGATAATAAATAATTTTTAATTAATATAATTGTTGTTTAGTAATTTTTGATTGATGTTTTTCTAAAAATAAAAATTGAACAATGTGTTTTGATCTGACTATTGAAAAAGTGACTTGAAAAGGAATTAAAAGTAGAGAACAAAATCTATCTCGTATCCCATGCCAAACTTTTAAAAAATTCCGCTGCATCTTATAGTGAAAGACAGAGAGACGAAATAGACTCCCACAAAGAGATAAATTTAGGAGAAATATCGATCAAAGAACTCTGAAAAAAATTTATATCAATTAAGCATTATTTATGTAAAAACTTAAATAGATATTTGTCAATTTGAATTAGTTTTTTATCAATAAATATTCATTTAAATTTTAATAATAACTTATTATAAATAAAAAATAATCTATTTGGGTTTTTTTTCCATTCAAATCTTAACAATTAATTCTTGACTAATATAAATTTTCTCTAATGGTCTTTCGTTGTTATTTTCCCATGAATTGATCCGATAGACTAGCCTGAACTTGTTGAAAATTTTAGGGTTGAGGCCTGAAAAAATAATATTTTTTCTGAATAAGTTTGAAGAAATTCAAGCCAAGCTCAATGGCCCAAATACCCAAAATAAAAAATATTTTTTCAAAATATATAAAATATTATAAATATTAAAATTCTTTAAGTTTTATGTTATTTTATACTAAAATACTATATATTTAAGTACATTATTATAGTTATTTTAAAAAAATAAAAATTTATATTTTTATTATTTTTAAACAATAAAATATCTCAAAATAATATTTAAAATATATTTTAATATTAATTTTATGTTTTAAGACCCACTTATTTTTTAAAAAAAGTTTTGACTCCTATACATCTTTTGAGTATCCAAAAAATATATTTTATATTTTTTTTTATAAAATGAGATAATTAATTTTAAAATAAACACTAAATTCAAAATAATTTTAAATATAAAATTCAGGCATGTATGAAATTTTTGGCTCTATAACTAGATAAACATAATAAATGAAATAATATCTTTGAATAATTATTTGATTATCGTCCACACTAAAAAAATAATTTCAAAAAAATATTTTACTCATAATTAAATGTGTTTATTTTATATAATATAATAATGACTATTTTTTATATTTTTAAAAGTAAAAAATACAATTTACCCAAAAGTTATTGAAAACTTTGAACTAGTCAGGATGATGATTTTAAGTTAGGGATCTAACTGTGATTTAATTGAAATCAACTTAATCATAGTTAAATAATATAATTTAATTAAAATATATCAAATATTTATCTATGACCATAATAAAAGTAATATTTAAATAATTAAAACATTAATTTACAAGTAAAGGAAACATTCATAAATAAATTACACATAATATAACAAAATTGCAATAGAATTACTTAAGTACAATGTTCATAAATTATTCTTTTTTTCTTTTAATCTTTTAAAGTTGAAAAAAGTTATCTAAAAATTTAAATTAATTTAAAAAATAGATAAAAATATTTTTAAAAAGTTTTGGATATTTGGGTCGGCCCAAATAAGCCTGAAATTTGAAGGTGTTAAGGCCAAACTTGATTATATAGGCTTTTTATATAAGGTAAAATATTTTAAGCCTAATCCGAATAAGCTCGACTAGAATTGAGCTTGGCCGCCTGAATTACCAGCTTTTCCAAAATATGATATGTTTTTATGGATGGCTATCAAACATGTTGACATATACAAATTGCTAATATATAGAATTAAATTTACATATTATTACCTCTAGAGAGAATCGACAAATAAAAATAGTCCATTCTACAGTATCCAATTCTTTGAAGATACAATGTTGTGAAACTAAACAATAGCAGGTTTGTCGAGATTGTTGAGACGAGCAAAGACAGTGGAACTAGTAGTCATAATGATGGGAAAAGAAGGATCCACAAGCACTAGTACCATGGTAGGAATATCTTGAGATTCAGTCAAGCTTTAAAAACTTTCCCATATAACAACATGACGTCACTTTGAATGTTTCCATCCCTTGGAGACTCCTCACTTTTCTCTGAGTCTAAAACTTGTTGGTTGGATATAAATTCATATCCATATTAACAGTCACTTTGAAGGAAGTAGAATTTGACATGCAGTGGTAGAGTTACATTAGCCTACAAATATCAAGAAAAGTATAAATTTTTCTTAATGGAATTTGAGGATGAAGAAAATGATGGTTTTTGGAATGGATGAATGTAGCTTACCCTATTTTTGTAACATTGAGCATATGCATGCAGATATAGAGAGCCTTCATTGGTCCCCATAAGTTGATGCCATAATATAATGACTTTGCTTTTAAAATATTAACACACACACACACACACACACACACACACACACACCAAATAAAGTAGTCCAAACCAAAAGTCATACCCATAATGATTTGGGATAGGGATGAATGATGTAAAGTTAAGCAAACCATAGTTTCCACCAATTAGTGTTTGTCTACAATAAACTTGCATTGATCAATACATCACATGTTCAACCTCATACCTAATAATTCAAACTCAAACCATCAACTAGCACACATTATCACCAGATAGCATTATCTCCACAAATTCAAGAACCCATCACTCATAATAATAACTCAGACGCTTGATCATATTCCATACATTGCAACATAATCCATGCCATCAATATATATATATATATATATTCATAACTTGCAAGTACAATTATAAACTAAAATTAAACTCTTAAGCCTTGTATGGTACAAGGTATTGCATTTTAAGGGAATGGGAATGGGAATGAGATTGGGATTAAATGTGGGATTGGGAGTGAGAATAAATTTTAAAATGATGTTTGATATGTCATGGGATTAAAAAAAAATAAAACTGGGATTAAGCCAAAAAATTGCTAAAAAGACACAAATATCCTCTTCTTCTTCCTTCTACTTTACCCATGTGTCATTTGGATATGTACACAAACCACGAATTCGAGCATGAGCAGGTCAGCTTGAACTCCCTCCATCTCTGTCTCCATAGCATATTCAATGAACTAATTCAAGCATCTACGGCACCGTACTCAAACTCCCTTCATCTCTATCTCCATAGAGATGCTAACACCATATGCGATGAACAAATTTGAGCCTCTGTAACATCATACTCGAACTCCCTTCATCTCTGACTCCCTAGAGGGTGGCTCTATCTCTACCTCTCGTTCTACCACACAATCTAGATATGTGCACGAGTAGGGTTGGAGACTCAATTTGGATTTGGATTTGAAGGGACGAAGATGAAATCTATATATATGCATGAGCAGGGTCGGAGATGCGATCTAGATTTAGATCGAAAGGGGCAGAGACGTGATCTAGATTTGGAGGCACAGTAGGAATGATGGAGGCACAGTGGAGGGAATGGCATAGTAGATTGGAAAAGAGGGAGATGGCCGATAAATAGTTAGTGAGGTTAGAGGGCATTTTCGTCTTACAAAAATCAATCCTAGGATTGATTTTGCAATACCTTAGGCAAGGTAGTATTGGGTAATCTCATGAAAGGTGAGATTGGTATTGACATTGGATTATGGATTACTTCATACCAAATATAAAAAAGTGAAATTATTCAATCCCAATTCCAGTCCCACCATCTCATTCTTTTATACCAAACAGGGCCTTAGTTATCTTAATTCTTGGGTTTAGCACCCCCAAGAATATAATTTAGATTTCCAAAGGAAACTTCCTACTAATGCAAACTCCAAAAACAATCAATGATCAACAATCAGCATCAATGACTAATCATTATCAATTAACTTTAATTATAGTTAAGTCCTTAATTGTTCATTAAGAGTGATTAAGAAAGACCAACCCCATAACTCACCTTTATTAACTTGTTTAACCTCTAATAAGTTAAAAAAACACTACTAACTACTTTTAATAACTTAATCTAGGTAAGTTAATATTAAGGTTAACTCTAAACCCTTCATTAAAACCCATAACCACTACCATAAACATAAACTAGTGATAAAAAACTTAAATAACTTTTATTAGACTTCATTAAAGTTATTAGAGTGTTTAAACACTACCCCTAGCTTTTTGCTTTGATTCTCCCAACTAAAGAACTAGAAAAGACACGTATAAAGGGATAGGAGAAGGAAAAAGGAAGCTTATTTGGTGACTTAGATGCTTCAAACCACTCCGAATGGCATGCAACATGAAACCCTAGCAAAGCCCTTCTTCCTTTCTTGATCTCTCTCTCAAAATCTCTCTTCTATCCAATACTTAAAACGCATCTTGGGGCTTTTAAAATTCAATGTGTTTGTCATGATGAAGGATACTATTTGCCATGGCGGATGTTAAGTAGAATATTTTGTGCTCAAAGTCATCCAATAATACTTAGGTCTACATTTAACCCCATTTAGGATTTAATAGACCCAAATGGCCATCCAAACTCTCTAATTAATTCCCAATACCATAATCAATCAATTAAACTACTTAATTATTTTAGTTAACCCTTAACTTAAAATTTTGGTGTGTTATAAAGATGAAATTAAAGGAGTTGCCATGTTTTACTTCTCTTCGCTCTTCTTAGAAGATTTATCAGTTCATAATACTCTTCACTATAATGTGCATTTCCCTTGTATCAGTAAGCCCCTCTAATATCAATGTGGAAAAGATGTTAATGGAGAGGAGATTAAGAATGCTATTTTTATGATAGGATCTCTCAAATCGCCCAATCTTGATGGTTTTAATGCTTTATTCTATCAAAAGTAGTCAAAGATAGTGGGTAAGCAAGTGATTAAATTTATTAAATTTCTATTTAAAAATCCCCAAGCTATAAATGAGGTGAATGGAACTTTGACTGTGTTGATTCCCAAGAAAGATCTACCAAAAACCTTGAAGGATCTAAGACCTTTTAGCCTTTCTAATATCATCCATATGGTCATCACCAAAATAATCTCTAATGGAATTAAGGAATTCTTACAAGACATTATCTCTCCTAATCAATGTAGTTTTGTTCTGAGTAGACATGAAACGAATAATATCATTGTGGCTCAAGAGGTTATTCATTTCATGTGGAATATCAGAGGGAAGAAAGGATTCATGGCTATCAAAATTGACTTGGAAAAAGCTTATGACCAGATCAACTAGGGATTATTAAAACAATGTCTTTTATGAGCTTGATTTACATCCCAACATTATTGAAATCATTTCTTGTTGTGTCTCTTTTGTGAAAATGCAATCATTTTGAAATGGGAAAAAAGTAATTTCTTTAATATGACTTGTATTGTGAGATAAGGTGATCCAATCTCACCCTATCGATTTGTTATATATATGAAAAAACTTGCCCACTTGATTCAAATGAGCATGTTAATTAGGGATTGGAAACTAATAAAACTTATAAAAAAATAGGCCCTCAATCTTTCATTTATTTTTTGCTAATGACATCTTGCTTTTTGTTGAGGCTTCTATGGATTAAGCTAATATTATTATGAATTGCATTAAAAAATTATGCTTTAACTCAAGGTTGAAGGTGAATTCTGCAAAAACCCAAGTGTGTCTTTCTAGTAATGTGAATCACCATAGATGTGGTGAGCTCAGTTCTACCTTAGACTTCACCCAAACGACAGATCTTGAAAAAAATATTGTTGTCTCCCTCCATCATAAATGGGTAACTAAAGATGCATTCCAAAGTGTTGTGGATGAAGTTAAGACAGTAATTTTGTTTTAGAAAATAAATTTTCTCTCTCTTTGAAGGGTTGCACAACCCTAATTGCTTTTGTATCTTTGACAATTTCAAGTTATGTGATGCAAACTTATTCACCTCATGTTGGCACTTGTGAGAGGTTGGATAAATGCAATAAGAGATTCCTTTGGGATGGTATGGAGGAACAAAGAAAAATCCCATTAGTTTTTTGAGAAGTTATATAGAAGCTAAAAGCTAAAGGAGTACTTGGGTTGAAGCTTGTTGCCAAACAAAACTAGTCTTCTCTTATGAAGCTTAGTTGGAATCTTATTAAGAGGAAGGACAACTTTTGGATGAAAGTCATTCGAAATAAGTTTAAATGTAGGGATGATTTAATTCCACGTATTGACATGTAAAAGAGTGGCTCAAATGCTTAGTATGGTATTAAAGCCACTTGGTCGAATGTTTAGAATGTAATGGAATTGCTCATTAATAGGCATGATGTGAGATGGAAATGGGCTAAGAGTGGGGAATTTATGGTGTTATCTATATATGACCAATTGATAAATACTATTGATTTGATGAACCCTTTATGGGATAAGATTTAGAAGGTCTACACCCCTAATGATATCGGTTGTTCTTTTGACTTGTGGCCCGTGAAAGCCATCTCACCAATGCAAGCATAAGGAAGAGAGGCCTTAGCGAAGATGATTTGTGCCTGGGGTGCATAGCAAACATGAAGGACACAATCCATGTGCTTCATGACTATTCTTTAACCTATGAACTTTGGCATTCTTTAGTGCCATCTATTGATAGAAGGTTATTCTTTAACCTTGATCTACATGGCTGGATTTCTTGAAATATTTCTAGATGTGGAGATCAAGAGCATAACAATTGGGCTACTCTCTTTGTTGTGATTTACTAGTGGGTATGGAACCAACAGAGAATTGCAAAAGCATGGCTAAAGGCAGAGTGGGGGAAATGATACAAAAGCATGACTCTAAGATTAAGAGAGATATATATGTTTTTAGTTTCAATGTCTGGGTCGGTCAATACTAAGATTAGTCCTTATCATTTGTCTCAACTTTCCCTCCATCTCTCCCCACCATTTTCCCCTTCTTTCTTAAATTGCTTCTTCTTCAGAGTTTTTCTTCTACATGTTTTCCTAATCCCATTTTCATATGATTTGATCTAACCCATCACCACTATGATCTAGATCTGTTAGCCCCACCAAGTTTGTCAATATCAATGTAAGTGGAGAAGAGATTATCCTTGAATCCAATTTCTTCAAGGCTATCATTCTTCTACATATAGCCCCTCCCCTCAAGAATAATGAAGAAGATGAAGAAGAGGTTGTGGGTGTCAACTTAATGGAGAAGCATAAACAGTGGGACAGAGCCCCTTGTGGTTAGGTAAGTAGTTTCCAAACATTCTCGTTTTATATTATACTATGACTTTGTCTTTTTCTGTGTTTATTATAAAAGAAGATTTTTTTTTGCCAAATTAAAAACTAAAGGCACACTTAATTTGTAAATATTCTATTACATCCTATACCTTGAGCATATGTATTCGCACCATTAACTTTTTCCCTATCAATTTTAACAATTAAAAATGTGTCTGTGACCAAATAAAAAAGATATCTTATAACATATAAATTAAAATTTCTAGAACGCTCCTTTCCCCTTTTTTCTCCAAAAAAAAACATTGCATCTTATAAGGTTGTAGAAATACACTTCAATATATAGATAGCTATGTCTACCAAAACATGATATGGGTATACTGTTTGATTATCAAACAAATGTATTGACAACACAATTGCAAATAGAATCAAATTAAATGTCATAAGAATGACCAAATCAACAATCGATTCCAACCTAATAAATTCAATTCAATTAAGATACAATATTTGGAAGTGATTTAGAAACAAAACAAAAATCTTGAAAGCACAAAACATGTATGAAACTGCATGAACAACAACAAAAAGAAAAGGACTATGCACAAACAGGTGCATTAAGGTTGTTGAAACGAGCAAAGACAATGGAATGAGCAGCCACATTGATTGGAGAAGAAGGATCCACAAGCACAGGCTCTATGGAAGGAATGTCCTTAGATTCAGTCAAGCTTAAAACTTGTCCATTTAGCAAAACAACATCATTTTGAATGTTTCCATCTTTAGGAGTCAAATGGTACTCCTCCCTCTTCTCTGAGTTAAAAACTTGTTGGTTTGGATATAGATTCATGTCAATATTAACAGTCACATTGAAGGAAGTAGAATTCGACATGTTTATCAGTAGAACACTCACACCAGCCTACAAATATTCAAAAAAAGCATAATTTTTTACCAATGAGATTTGAGAATGGAAAAAAAAAACAACACCATAGAAATTTAATTACCATTGATTGATTGAATGAATGAAGCTTACCTTATTCTTTGAACAATGAGCATATGCACGTAGATATGGTGAGCCTTCATGGTTTACAGAGAGTACTTTAGTCCCCATAAGTCGATGCCATAGTAGAGCTCTATTCAAGAAATAAGACATTAATTACATGTTATGACTTGCACGTAAGTTATATGTATATAGCTAATTAAAATCAAAAGTGTTACCCATAATAATCAGGGTTAGGGATGAATGATGTCGTGTTGAGCAAACCATAGTTTCCTCCAATAAGTGTCTGCCTACAATAAACCTTGTGGTTGAAGGTTGATGTCATGCCCAATTGATCCAAATACCTAGTGTTTTTTTTAAAAAACAAAATACAAGAAGTTCATAAAGAAACATTTTTTCAAAAAAAAAAAAACACAAAAGGAGAACATGATAGGAGCTTAAATTAAACAACGGATTAGTTAGAATTTGACCAGAAGCCATTAGCAAAGGTATGTGACACATTTTTGCCTCCACTATTGTAGGCTCCCCCAGATTCTCCAACCCATGGTTGAGCCCATGGTGCATAATCTTTTACACTTGTCGATACATCCTTAAATGTTTGAGTCACTTGGCTCAAGAAAAATGGGTCTTGCACCTTGTTAATCAAATTCTTATCGACACCTACATTTATTAGATAGATGGAGTATTAATACATTTTCTCAGAAAACCAAACCCAGATCAGGTGTTCACTTGCCATCTTGTTCGTGGAAATGACCACAAGAGAAAACAAGAAAATAGACATAAGTTTGATTAATTCAAATCTATGTACATTTGCTGTGTCAAAAGGCCCATATATTTATAATTTTAAAATTAAAGTTTAGTACTAGATAATCAACTCTTTTTTTCCAAAAAAAGTTCTTTTGTGAAAAACTTGATAAAAACTAGAAAATCCATTAGTACTCACCAGCACCAAGGTTGTAAATATGGTGGGTGACTCCATCAACAACACCAGATGCAGTATTCTGTAAGAAGCTATCAAACCATTCCTTCTTGAAGAAACCTCCAGGGGCAAGCACTTGGGGTCTTGTTGTGGGATCTGGATGAAACATATTCACTAATTTTCTAAGTTCAGTGATATCTTTTGCATATTGCACGCTTTCTATTCTTGCACCAATGCCATCACCGCATAACTCATTTCCTGCCACACATTAAACTTCAATCATAAATCTCAAAGCATCAACATTCTTTGCACTACAATGAAGAAAACTTTACCATACCTAATTCATATGAATCAATTTTGTATCCTTTTGAAGCAGTGTAAGCCATGAGGGTAGCAGCATTATGTGGGTTCCAATCACCTACCCAAAGAACCTTATCCTCCTTAGATCTGCTCTTTCCGTGGAGAGCATTCAACCCAAATGTGAGTTTGACTCTACAACAACATTAGCATTATATAATAAGCATATATTTAAGACATCATATATACAGTTGTTGAGACAATTAAAGATCATGTTGTGAAACTTTTGTGAAGAGAATTCATGGAATTAAAAGTACATACCCAGTTTTATTGAACAGGTCATTGATTTGGTCCCATCTGGTATTGTTAAGGCATCCAGAGCTAAAACCAAACAAGCCATCTTGATTCTTTGTGAATCCTGGGCAACTTTTTGGGTGTCTAAATCTGTACACCACTTGATCTTCTAATGATCCTCCTAATCTGATTCTCAGAGAGTTAAATGCTGCAATTACAAATTTTTGAAACAATTAGATCTTTGACGGTAACATGGGTAGCGTGCTTGGTGTTATTGCAAGGAGAGAAGGGAAGGGAGAAACTTTTTATTGTGCGAACAAGAAAATAAAAAGGGAGGGGGGAGAATACGTAATTAGGTAGCTGATAATATTATTTTTATTTCATTTGTTATTGAAATTCCATAAATTGAAATAAAAATGTAGAAAGAGTCGACTAGTTCATAATCCTTTCAATTTTTTAAAACCTTTTAAAGGGATTTAAAAAATTTTAAATTTTTTTTCCCCAATTCGGCCAATTTGCCTTGAGATGTATGTAGGTAACTCTTGAAGAGAGACAGAGTCAATGAGACCCACTTAGGTGAATCCCATTTGCTTAGTGGATTAAACTGGCTAGGTCTCTTTAGTTTCTTAATGAGGTACCTAATTTCTATTAAAGATAAAAGATGTGCCACATCAAAAAATTAGAAGATAGTTCATGAATATATAATGCATGAGATGTGTTTAACCAAATAGCTTAAGCTATTTTTGGTAAAGTATATTATTTTTAAGCATATTTAATATAAAACATTTAACATTCCATCACATGATTAAGGCCAAACGTTTTATCCTTTTCATTAATTTCTTTTCCAATTCAAATGAAAAATGAGAGGTTTTTGGGACACATGCATTTGTTAAATGACGTATCCAAATGAAAAAAGGTAAAAATTTTTAAAAAAATCCTGAAGACATTTTCTTGAGAAACTTTCTTGGACGTACGTGATTTTCTTGGAAAAGAAAATTTCTTACCCTTCATAGCATTAATCAAGATCTTGTTATTCAAATCCTGCCATCATGGAAAGAACAAGAGGTTAAGATGCTTAATTTGATGTTTAACAACAAGAGCAACAATTTAAAAGTTAAAGAGAATATACCAAATTAAGAATGCCTGCTTGTCCCCAAGGACATTGACCATAATCACACTTATCAGAAGGCCACCAATCCAAAGTTGCACATATAAAATTTTCATCTGTATTGGCTATCGATGTTATTACTTTCACATTAAGATTCACATCTTCTGAATGACACAAAGTAAACAATGAAACAAGAATACACAAGAAAGCTAAGTTTGCTTCCATGATGGAAATTAAGAGATGGGAGAAAAGAAAGCACGAGAAAATTAGGCAATGTTTCGTACATTTATAAAGTTGATTGAATGGTAAATTCTTCTCTTTCCTAAGATGAATGATCAGGTTGAGAGGTTATGTTCTAAGTATATTTCCTTTCGTTTACAAAATAGTATAACTAATCGTTATTGACTACTATAATAAATCAAAGAATGAAACAGTATCGTTTCTATATGAGTTGTCTTAACAAAAAGCGTTTGAAAAGAATATCTCTCTTTAATGTTGAAATTAACCTTTCAGTTTCATTAAAACAAAAAAAGAAATCGGCCTGTAACTATAGATATTGATTACCAAAATTATCTCGCCCTTAATTATCAACGTCAGGACTGATTGTACTATAATATATATAGAGGGGCTAGTTAATTTTTTAAAATTCTTTGTAATATTAAGTTGCGATGTTATGTCTATCATTATTTGAAATTTTAAATCTAATTAATTAAGTTAAGTACATTTATAATTGGATATGTTAAGTTGTGTGTGTGTGTGTGTATAGGGTATGCTTTATCTTCAATAATTAGAGTTTGTTGCTTTTCACAGAATGATTTGGTTATATATATATATATATATCGTAGTATATATAGATTAATGATTTTATATCAATTATGATTAATTAATACTTAACTAATGCATTGTTTGAGCAAATGAATAACTTCATAACACAAGGAGGAAAAAGAACCAACACCTAGACTACCGATCGATTCTAAGATATTCAGTCCCATAATAAAGATACAACCATCGCCGATTGAAAACCTACAAAAAATCAGGCAAAAAAAAAAACTAAAAACTAAAAACCCCGAAAGACATTCTAGGAAAAATCCTCAAGACCCAAAAAAGAAGGAGCGAAAAACAGTTCGAAAGAATAACTAATAGAACTAAACGCATGCAGGTACGTTCAAGTTATTGAGACGAGCAAAGACAATGGAATCAGCCGCCACAGCGATTGGAGAAGAAGGATCCACAAGCACTGGTTTCATGGCAGGAATATCCTGTGACCTTGTCAACCTCAAAGCTTTTCCATTCAGCAACACGACGTCGCTTTGAATATTTCCATTTTCCGGTGTCAAATGGTACTCCTCTCTCTTCTTTAACTTTTCACTTTGGTCTGGGTACAGATTCATGTCTGGCTTAACAGTCACGTAGAACGAAGTAGAATTTGACATGTTTATCAGCAACAAAGTCACACCACCACCCTGTAAATTTCAAGGAAAATATGAATTTTTTATTGATGGGATCTTAATTTCTTGTTTCTGGAAATTAATAATGAATGAAAAGCTTACGTTGTTTTTGGAACAATGAGCATATGTACGCAGGTATGGAGATCCTTCATGGTTGACTGAGAGAACTTTGGATCCCATAAGCTTGTGCCATAACAAAGCTCTGGTGTAATAATCAAGAAAGAAATTAATTAATCATACACAATGACTTATTTTTAAGAATAACAAAAATTTGTATAAACAAATTTTAATTATAAGTCATATATATAAATACCCATAATAATCTGGGTTAGGGATGAAAGTTGTGGTGTTAAGCAGGCCATAATTTCCTCCAACTAGTGCCTGTCTGCAATAAACCGCGTGGTTGAATGTTGAGGTCATGCCTAGTTGATCCAAGTACCTATATATTGATCATTAAGATAAGTTAGAAAATGAAACTTTTAGACAAGAAAACAAGGATCTGAGATTGTACAAGAGAATATATAATTAATTAGGGATTGACCAGAAGCCATCAGCAAACGTATGTGACACATCTTTGCCTCCACTGTTATAGGCTCCGCCAGATTCTCCAACCCATGGTTGTGCCCATGGTGTATACTCCTTCACTGCGATTGATATATCTTTGAATGTTTGAGCAACTTGGCTCAAGAAATATGGGTCCTGGATTTTGTTAATCAAAGTCTTATCCACACCTGCATTTATGAGTTAAAGAGGTTTGTTGGACATTTTCTCATGAACCCAACACAAAATTAGACCATGATTCAAACCCTTTTGTTTTTACGTTCACAAAATGAATGTAGAAAATTGCATTAATTCAAAGATCAATAAAAAAATAATTTACATACTTACCAGCACCAAGGTTATAAATATGGTGGGTGACTCCATCAAGAACGCCAGGTCCAGTATGTTGCAAGAAGGTATTGAACCATTCCTTGTCATAAAAACCAGCTGGTCCTAGCACTTGTGGTCTTGTTTTGGGGTTAGGGTACATAGCATTCACTAATTTTCTGAGTTTAGTCATATCTTTTGCATATGGAATACTTTCTATCCTCACAGAAACTCCACTACCACACAGCTCATTTCCTGATGAGGATTAATTAAACTCCATTAATATCATCAATGCATTAAAAACAAATAACAATCCACAAATTTAAAAAAATTAAAAATAAAAACCCAATAATGAAGGTGATAGTGTTACCTAATTCATAAGAATCAATCTTATATCCTTTAAAAACAGTATAGGCCATGAGACTAGCTGCATTGCTTGCGTCCCATTCTCCTTCCCAGAGAATGTCCTCTTGGTCCTGTTGGGCCTTCTTCTTCCCCATCAGAGCATTCAATCCAAATGTGAGTTTCACTCTGCACATAATAAGTTATAATTAAATTAATTATATATATGGCTCATCTCAAATAATTGAATGATGGGTATATATAAAAAATGTGATAATAAGTGATAAAATAGAAATAAATAGGCATACCCAGTGTTGTTGACAAAGTTATTGATTTGGTCCCAACGTGTACTGTTGAGACAACCTTTGCTGAAACCAAACAAGCCATCCTTGTCCTTTGTCATTTGAGGACACGTTTTCATGCCACCAAATTGGTACACAATTTGATCTTCTACTGATCCTCCTAGTCTTATTCTCAGTGGATTAAATGCTGAAAAAAATAATTAACACAAATTAATCTAATTCCAGTTCCAATATGATTACAAAATCAAGTTTATATTTTTCTCTTTTTGTAGAAAAAAATAGAAATAGACGGCTAGTCAGTGAGACACATCATTTAAATAAATTTCATACATTCACATGAGACGTTCCATTTAAATAAAGCACCATATACCATGGGTTTCTCACCCTAAAATGAGAGGGGGGGAGAATAATGGAGAGATCCGAATCAAATTTGACTAGTTTGTAGTAGAAAATAATTATTTTCTTTTATATATATGTGGAATCATTAAGATTATGAAAGTATTTTCCTTTTTATAATGTATGTGGATGACGAGAATTACACATACGTAATAAATCCACATTAAGAAGGCATATAAAAGAAATTATAACAATAATTATTAACAACCACATAAAGTTTCATAAACAAATATACAATTTATTACTTAAATTTTATATTTGTTATAATATTATGTGAAAATTATATATTTTCATGGTTTAATTGAAAATACTCTGGCGCAAACAATATAAATTATGCTATAAATATCTAAGTCAGAGAAATCTGTCGTTTCTCTGTTCTAGAGTTAGACTGTGGTAATCAAAACAAAAATAATTGAAGACTTACCCGTAATGGCATTTGATAGAACCTTGTTATTCAAGTCCTGCAAAGCCAAGGAACAAAACATAAGACACTTATGTTTTTATCTTCTAACATGAATAATATTTATTATTAGAAGATGAAAATCAGTAGACATGAACAAGTGAAATTTGGTTCAGTATAACCAGAATTGTTTCTGAAGAACCATTCAAATTTGCAAATCATCTAAACACGGTTCATTAAAAAGAACCTAAAGAGATATAATAAAAATATAAAAACGACATCAATATAAAACTTTGGTAAACATAAATTAATTACCAGATTGAACATGCCTACTCCTTTCCAAGGACACTGATCATAATCACACTTATCAGAAGGCCACCAATCCAAAGTTGCACAGATGAAATTTTCATCCGTTGTTGCTATTGAAGTCACGACCTTCACGTTAAGGTCTACATTATCAGAATAAGATAAGGAAGAGAGTGAAAACAGCGTAACAAGAACACAGAAGAAAGCAATAATTTTTTTGGTTTCCATGATGAGGAAAGAAGCTAAGAGGTTTTAGATGGGTAGAAGGGATTGGATTGGTTTCTTATATTTATAAGAGTTGAAGTTAGGTGGGAGAATTTTTCTCAAAGCTTTCAAATGTGATTCAAGATTAAGATTAACTTCAGGGGATTCTGATAGATTTTAGTAATCTTCAATCACAATTAAAAATAAATCAAAGAATATAAGATAACTTTCTTTTTAAAAAGACTAAGGCAATTATATTTCGATTTGAAACTTATTTTAGATAAGGATATCTTTTAAATCTCAAAAGTAATTATTAGAATATGCTGTTTAGTTACCTTTTATATAAAAATTTAAAACTAATTATTTAACCATATATTTTCTCTTACCCCTTTTTTATTACTTTTTTTTTCTATCTATATATCTCTATTAATTATCTTTACTTATTATTTCTGGGTTTTATGGTGTGTTTTTTTTTTTTTATTTTATTTTTCAAATTTTAAAGTATGCTTAATAATATGTTTTTATTAATATTTTCTTCATTTTCATTTAAGTATTTGTCTTTCTATTTATTCTAACATAAATTAATTATAACATTTACTCCTTCCATTTAAAAATGTAAAGCATTTTTAATTGAATTTTACCTTAATAAAGTAGTTTCCTACTTTCAAACTAACCCTATCCTTTCATATTTATCTCTATTAAATACCTTACAATAAATATAAAGTCATTATTAATATGGGCACTTTTAAAAAAATGCAATAATTATACCTTAAAAAACCAAAAATGTATTTCATTTTTTAATATTCAACTCCTTAAAAAATGCCTTACATTCTTTAATGGAGGGATTATATTTTAAGAATGACAGCAATGAGATTTTAGTTAAAATACAAAATAAAATAATTGAGAATGAAATATTTGTATATGTAATATAATTGAAACTTAAGAGATACATATCATAAAAATTGAAAGATTGTCTAAAAGAAAGTTAAATGTTCAAAATTTTTAGCGCGGTTGACAAACACAATTGGTAATCAAAGATTATAAAAAATAAATAAATTTAAGGATATAAATAATTTTCCTCTTTTAGGTTTTTCCAATATGGAAAACAAATATCAATGCATATAACAAAATAACGTGGAGGAAAAATATAAGTAGATGTGTAAAAATATAAAGAAATTATATTTCAATTATGATTTTTTATATAATGATAACTTTATATGATATATCTCAAAACTTAAATATTAACATATAATGTTAATTTATCATTTCCATGCAATTTAAAATTAATTATTTAAACTAGTATTTTCTAATGTCTCTAGATCATTAGTTTGTCCACCTCTATACAGTTTAATCAGTTATCTTTAATTCATTTACTTTTTATGTACTTTTTTCTGATTTTTATATTGGTTTTTATTTTGAAATTTATTTTAGTTGTTTAAAATTTCTTGAATCCTTCCACTCAATTCTAGTCATTCAATATCCCTACAAGTCAAAATATTAATTCACCATTTAAAATCCTGATTATCCAATTATCCCCAATTATTTATATGTATTTTTCCTTTTTGTTTAGCTATATTTTTGTTTATTCTTATCTAAAATAATTCTATTTACATTTTCAAATAAAAACATGATTTTTTTTGTAAAAAATTATTTAATTTGATTTATTATTAAAATTTCATACATATAAATTATCATATACATAATCTTCTGGCTGATAATGCAATATTTGCATATTGGAATGTACAAGATATATCTCATAAAAATTGAGAGATATTGTATTTAAAAAAAAGGTTAAATAGTCAGAATTGTGGCGGTTGAATTAAAGATAACAGATAATTACAATAACGATTTTAGGAATTCGAAATAATATCTTTGTTTACCTTTAAAAAGAGAAAAAAAAATTATCATAGCATTATTAAGAATGTCACTTCAGAAAGTTCATAATCTGTTTTGTTATGTGTAATTATCATAGCTACAACTATGAAGCACCTTGAAACCAATATAAAAAAGAAATTGTGAAGATGGAGAAAAAACGAATTTACTTGTCAACAAGAAAGTAAAGAAAGCAAGTTTTATTTGCATAATTATAAAAAGATAAATATAACTTTTGATCTTTGTAGTTTAGTTGCATTTTGCTTTAATTCCTATAAATTTTTTTTAGTGTTTTAGATCTTTACATTTTTGTTTCTATTATTTTTTTTCTCTTTATGAGCAAAGTATAGATCTTTACATTTTTGTTTCTATTATTTTTTATCTCTTTATGAACAAAGTATAGGGATGTTGAAAAAATTTAAAATAATAAAAATAAAAAGCGTATGAATTTAAAATACTAAAAATAAAGTATTGAAATTAAAAGTAAAATACAAGTAATATATAAAGACCAAAAATTATATTTATCCATTATAAAAAATTGTGAAAGTTTGAATGTCGGAAAGGTGCTAGACTAATTTACTCAAATATGTATACATGGTTAGTCGGATGATAGGACTTTTTTTGATAAAGCTATAAATTTAAGTATTAATTATTTTTTTTAAGATCATTAAATACTCTATATTATGAGATGGTCTAAAATAAATGATCAACATCCTCCATCAAATACGAACAAGCATTTGTTGGGCTTCGTTTCGGCGCTCAACACCAAAATACTACTGTTTGGCAGTGTTAGGTTTTTTTTCTTTTACTTTTTTTAAATAACAAATATGAATCCATGTTTTTTTTTTACTGTTTGTCCCACGGATTCGGTGCTCAGCACCAAAACACTGCTGTTTGGCAGTGTTTTTTTTTTTTAAACCACAAATTTATTTTTAATTTATTATAATAATAAATAATTATTATTTTAATATTTAATAAATTAATAAATATTAAGATGTTAAAATTAAACCTGAATAGTTTAAATAAAAATTTTGATTTGAACTTCAAAAATTGTACTAAAAAATAAAAAATAATTTAAATAATTTAAAATAGGAGTTGAGTCTAACAAAATAAACTAGTTTCTTACGTTATAAAAAATTAATATTTGAATTCTTATTAAGAGAATTACTTATATTTAATACTTAATTATGTCTTGGATGATATTATCTCTCATAGATAAATAATTGTACAAAATCAATAAAATAAAAATATTTTTAATTATAATTTTAATTTTTTTAATATAGATCAAAATTTATATATGAACTATTTAAATTAAACTTTAATAAATTAATCTGTTTAGATTTAATTTCAACATCTTAATATTTATTTTTTATTAAATATTAAAATAATAATTTTATAATATTTATTTATTATTATTATAATAAATTTGTGGTTAAAAAAAGAGGGGGGGGGGGACACTGCCCAACGACAGTGTTTTGGTACCGAGCCCTATGGTGCTCCTCTTAGGATGAGCACCAAACTGATTCCTTTGCGCCACATTCATTACAGGTGGCTGTGTTCAGATTCTCTCTCCTCTCTCTTGCATATCTTCACCTCCCGATTGTCCTCTTCTTCTTTCTCTGCCTTCAACCTTCACTCATATCCTTCTTCTCACCGCTATTGCTGATAGCACTGTGCTCGTCGTCGTCGTGGGATCTACAAGTCCCTGTCTTCTGTGGTCAAGCTCCACTCTCTCTTTGCTTCTTCATCATCTTCCTCATCTGCTTCATCGTTCTCATCCTCCACGGCTTTCATCATCTTCATTTGCTTCATCGTCCTCGTCCTCTCTCTCTCCCCCCATTTCTGCTTCATCGTCATCGTCTCCTATTTTTTGGCTCTTAAAACAGAGCTCAAGAACTCTTCCTGCCAAATTCCATGCATGAGTGAACTGAGAGTTGATGGAGGCATGAACCTTCATCATCTGCATGGGAGCTTACGAAGTTAAGCTCGTGGAGATGGTCACTTGCTAGCTATTTGGTTTCTCACCATTGCTTCAGTTTACGGATAGTGAGGAGAGAGTGTGAGAGAAGACATACCAAAGGTAAGGTAGAGGGAGATGCTTGACTGGTATAAGCATTGCCTGGTGGAAGTGGATTCACAATGGTGAGGAGAGAGAGTGGGAGAGTGAAAGAGAAGAAGATGCGATGGTGAGGAGAGAAAGTGAGAGAGAGGGTTGTTTTATCGGTGAAAAGGAAGAAGATACGATAGTGAGGAGAGAGAGTGAGAGAGTGAAAGAGAAAATGCCACGTGTTAAATTCATGACGCTAGAGTGAAAGAGGCCGGTCGAGATACATGCCTCATAGATGACGCTAGAGCTGCCATGGCTGATGAAGAGGTCCAGCCAGAAGTTCACGATGGCCTTCTTTATCTCGTCTATGGACACCTGTACATCTCAGTGGAAAGACCACCTGTACAGGACGATTTTGATATATTTAGATAATTATTAATTACTATTAAATTAAAATTATAAATAAAAAATATAACATTTTTTTTCCTTTTATCAAATTTTTTTCATATAAAAAATATGAAAGGATATAACTAAGTGTCTTGGGAAACAAATAATTTCATGATAATAAAAATCCAAAAAATTAATGCAATAATTTTTTTTATTTCATTACTGTTTTCTTCTTATATAACAATATGTTTGATTATTAAATTAGAAATTTATAATTTTTTATGTCATATTATTATTTAATACTACACATCATAATTCAATATTTGCAAAAATTTTGCAATATAGATGTTAAATTGGGAGAGTTTCAAATAAGGATAAGGGATGTGACTTAATTACTAGTGAGTCTTAAAAAATTCTGAAATTTTGGTTTAGTCTAAGGGGATAAAAGTAAAAATAATTTTAATTATGAAAAGATTAAAATACCCTTTATTTGTTAGGTATAATTACTAATTATTAATTTATTATATCACTTGTAAATTATATCTGTTTGCCAAACAAGTAGTAATATTAGTTGTTAATTTACTAACTTTACTTATTAATTTATCAATATCAGTTGTAAATTACTTGTTAATTTGATTATTTCACTTGTAAATTATAATTTATAACTGATGTCAGTAAATTAACAAATAAAATTAATAATTTAACAACTAATATTAAT